ATTACCTCCTCACCAGTGATTCCTTTCACTGATGGCTGGAAGGAAGGCCAGGATTGAAAAGAAGGACCGAGAGACTTGCACCTGTGTCTAGCAACAGGCTATATTCTTTTTCCTCTATAGTCATGATTACCCAGGGCTCCTCCATGGAGATGACAGTCTGGCTAGAAGGAGAAGGCAAAGTATGCCCCCGGGCCCCTCATTCCTGTTGGACTAACTGGTAGGATGGGTCTGGGCTCTGGGGCCTCCTCTTCAGAGGGCAGACCAATCTCCAGTGGTCACATTTGCATTCAGGCATGGCCCAGGGGGCTTCTTAGGGCAGTTCCTCTTGAGGTGGCCTGGCTTTTAACAGTGGTAAGCAGATGAATGCAGTCATCGAGTTCTTCTTGAGGCCCGAGAATCAGACTTAGGGTCTGTTTCTCTTAGTGCTGCAGCAAAAGCAGCTGCTTTTTCTCAGTCTCTTTGTTTTCTCTCCTCGGCCTCCTCCTCATCACAGCTATAGAATACTGAGGAGGCAATCCTTACTAACACCTCAAGGGGCCATTATTTTTCATTCTAGAAACTATGCTGTCAAGAGAAAGAGAAAAAGTTATAGTGTATCTTTTTAAAAATCCTTTTTTGGTATTAAATATTTCATTTTTCAGGACTGGGGATTGAACTCAGGGGCTCTCCTCCATTAAGCTACATCCCCAGCTCTTTGTACAATTTTATTTTGAGACAGAGTCTTGCTAAGTTGCCCAGGTCAGCCTTCAACTTGTGAGCCTCCTGCCTCCACCTCCTAAGTAGCTGGGATCACAGGCATGCACTGCCATACTTGGCTTAAATATCCTTTTAAACATAAGATGTCCCCGGTTTCAGTGGGACTCAATCAGAAATGGCTTTCCATGCAGCTCGAGCAAGGAGAACAGTTGGGATCTGCAGCTGAGGAGCAAAAGGCAGAGGGGCTCAGAGGCCACTGCTTCCCTTCCAGTCCAGCTCTGGCAGGTCACTCCACTTCTCTCAGTCATAATTCCCTCTTGGGTAAAATGAGACCCTCACAGGGTAGTTCTGAGCCTGAAGCAGGATAATTAGGCAAACCACTTCACACAGTGCCCTGCGCTGTGCATAGGATAAATGCTACCTGCCATTATTACCTGAATTGGCTGAGACTTCTGGAATCACATTTCAAGGGGGCAGAGCTCCGGGGATTCTCCTTAGATGTCCCTGACAATGGGGTCTATTTCTTTTTGTGGGAAAGAAAGAATTGAATAAAGAACAACCAAGCTATTTAGCATACCGCCTGCCTCGAGGTGTCCTCTCAGTGTACATCCACCCACTCTGTGGGAAGGCTGTGAATTAAGGAGAAAGGGCCGGCTGTTTCCCGGCTCTCTACACGAAGGAGACCAGGAATCCCAGGAGGATGTGGGCAGCGGTGATGGGAGAGGGGCAGTTGTGGTCCACATTCTCAGGAGCGTTTGTAGTCACCATCAGGGGTCAGCAGGGGCACTGTGTGGCTCCTCTCCTCTACCACCACATGAGAGACCCAGAAATGAGAGGCTCATTGGGGTCATGGAAAATGCAGGGCACAGGGCCAGAGTGATCACATATCTTGTCCCAAGATGTACCTTTCCCACTAAGCTCTCTTTGTGAAGCTGGCACTCCTGTGCAGGGAAGCCAGAGGAAGGTAACAAGCTGTACTCTGATGTTTGATGTACTTTTCTCAGGATGCATCAAAGACTCAATTGCAAGAGCTTAAAGGAAGAAGCAGACAGAGGCGAGAAGGGTGAGAGAATAAGAGTGAGCGCTGCAGGATCTGGCCCTGGCTAGGAGCTGCAAACATGTCCCCTTTGTTCCCTGTCAGCTTGACCTCTGGGGGCAGGGGTGAGGGTGACGGCCTTCCCCTACTTCTTCATTGTGATGAAGTAACTATTAGGCAAGGTGTTGTATCTCCTTTTCCTAATTTTCCAGAAGGTAAAATTTGAAAGAAATGATATTAAGCAGATACATGTTGGGGTTTTATAATAGAACGCTGATGCTTACTTTGGGGGCATAAATAACCAAATGTGCTTTCATGGTTTTTCAGATCTGTTGCCTAATTCCTATGGCATATTACCAACCCTGATTTCCTTATTCCATTTATTAAAAGCAATACTCTTCACCCCTGTTGACAAAGTGAGTCACAGTGGAGTGATATATATACCAATGTGCTCCTCTGGAGGACTGTGCTGTGCTTTCTAGGGGTGGGGGGTGCAGGAGGGCTTTTACTCAATCGATTCAAGGAAGCCAGAGGAAGAGACATGCGCCCCTGAAACTGCACGGGCTAAGGCCTGCGTCTTGTTCTCTCCATTGCTGCCTGGCCTGCTCACGAGGTCCCCGGGTGCCCACCAGTGAGTCTCCTATTTTACTGCTGTGTACTCCAGCCTGGGCCGTTGACTTCCACCCTTTCTGCAGGATATGAAGGCACAGGGTGTTGCCCTCTGGCTCCTGGGTACTGCACTTGTCCTGTGCTCCATGTACACGCATGGGTTCAGGAGGTGCCTAACTTCTGTGGACATGCATCACCTAGAAGAGTGTTTCCAAGAAATCAAAAGAGCCGTCGTGAGTATGGGTTCGGGAAGGCGTGGATGAAGGGGCGTGCCTCACCTTCTACCCTAGCCTGAAACACCAGGTCCTTCTTGATACCTTTGGGTCTTGGGAGAGCATGGGATATTCATTGCTTATGCCCGTCCTGTGTTCCTCCACAGCAAACCAAGGACATCTTCCCAAACATCACCATCTTGTCCACAGTGGAGACCCTGAGGAGTGTTAAGGTATTGGTCTGTCTTTGCTATTTTTGTGCTTTTTAAAAAAAATTTTCTATGGTAAAATGGCCCTGCTGAAAAAGAACTCTCCACCCTGCTCCTTTTTCTAATCTCCTTGTACCCTCAACTCTCCAGGCCTCTCATTTATCACCTCAGGCATTTGGGCACAGTACCTCTCCAGGGATTGAAACCCCAGTGGGGGAATTAAAGAAGTGCCACTTCGCTAGAGAGTGAGAGTGTGCCCAGTGCTCAGAGGGGCCAGGAGTTCTGTGACTTGGAGTAATTTTGGAAGTTTCCAGGAGGGAAATGAGAAAACAAGGAGCGACTTAACAGCAGAGGTGCTTGTAGATTAGTGCATAAAGATAGGCAGGAATTTGAAGGATGTGGGAGGATGGGTGTGAAGATACAGAGATGTGTAGCAGGGATGGACAGGTGCCTGGGATTGAGATGTGAAGGACGTGTGGGTGACCAGTGGCGGGTGAGGTGTACAACCATTCTGCAGTCATTTTACAAAGGTCCATGGAAGACAGGCTAAGTAGAATCACGGAAAGTTTTCTAGAAAGTTACACAACCACAAAAGCTTTAGACAGACAGCGTGGTGGTGTGCTTTCCACACGAGGCAGGAGAGCTAGGAAGGAGGTGAGGCCGAGGGTCCAGATAGGAGGTGCCCAAGTGTGTTACCAAATGCTTGGCTTGCCAGCTTTCACTCACTTACAAAAGGGGCCTGAGACGTGTTTGAAGTGAACTCTTTCAGTCCTTGGAAGCTTCTAGAGGGACCCGGTGTTCTTTGTTTTCAGGGATTTGTATGACAGAGTCTAAATTAGATCTGCACGGAAATTGATACTTAAGGAGGGAGAATGATGAGCCAGGAATAGACCTCCAAATTTATGCCTCTGGTTCCAAATTCTTTCTCCTCTCATGGTCAGTGTGATGTGGAATAAGGAATGAGTCGATGAGGATTCACGCCTTCACCCTATTCCTTTATTTCTTCCCTGCCTTCTCTCTCTCTCCCCCCTTTCTCCTTTCAGTTGTGTTCCTTTTACCAGTGCCACAATCTTTCATAACACGGAGACGTGCAACTTTCTGCCCCTCTGGTTAAATGGGTCCAGTAAGTGGATGAAGAGTTTTGTTATATGAAATTACTGCCATCCAGAAACTGCCCTTGGGGACAAAGAAATTTTGCTCCTTTAGTGTTAAAAAGGACGTGCTGTCAGCTGTGAACCACTCTCCACCTAGACTGAGCTGTAACTTTACAGAGTCATTCATAGGGTGGGCAGAGTTTGCGAACTTCCAGAAGGGAACTATCCCTGGGCTGTACCCTGGGGGTTAGGAGCTCTTTTCTCACAAGCTCTGCATTCAGCAGCCTTTCGACTTAGCCCGATGCACCAGTTTTCACAGTTCCCATTCTTGCAAGTCTCGGCCCCACTCAAATGAAAATTGAAGAGCTCAGCTCAGCATGGTGCAGACCAGGTGGCCAGGACAAACACAGTGTCACACCCTGTACAGTACCTGCCAGGCAATAGCCATGAATGTGGATGGATGGAGACATTAGAGGCCAGCTTTAGCCTTTATAGCATAAGGAAGTAGTTCTCAAGAAACTCCTTGGCCATCTGTCCTCTTAAAAGGGATATCCTCTTAAAAAGGATACACAGAACTTGGGGATGATACCTTGGTGTGTTTTTGAGAGAATGTCAGTTTATGATTGCATTCTGGGCCCCAGCCTTTGTTAATATATCTCCTGACCATATGATGAGAGGACTAGACTGGAATCTATCCTCCTTACCTTCCTTCTATGTAGCTTTGCCATGAGAAGATTTCAGCAGATGGTTTTAGTTCTTTTGCTTCTTGCTGCCCCTCCACAAGCCTTCTGCTCTGGACTCTGAGGAAATCCAAGAAGAGGGCCTCTGGGAATTATCTGATTTGTCTGTAGCCCATGGATGTGTGCTGTGTGACCAAGAATCTCCTGGAGTTCTACATGGACCGGGTTTTCAAGGACCATCAGGAGCTGAAGCCTCAGATCTTGAGAAGAATCAGCAGCATTGCCAACTCTTTCCTCTACATGCAGAAAACCCTGCAGCAGTGTGTGAGTTCGCATGTGTGCGTGGCTATTCCAAGTGTCTGCTCCTGGCCCCAGATGTGCTGCCCCTCAGGGACCTTGGGATGGGGTTTGTGGAGTCAAATGAAGTTTCCTGCCCTCTTGCCCATGGGGAGAGCCACTGAGAAGATTTTCCTGTGGTCAGTCCTTTCCTGGGGAATGACACCTCCTGCTAACATCTGAGTGGAGGTCTCCACACCACCTCCTGGGGTGACCAGGGACTCAGGCTTACCATGAGCATACCCTTAGTCCTTTTGCTCCTGGTCCTTTGGGGTTCCATACCAGACAACCTCTGGGGAGTTCCTTGGCATGGCCTATCCCTACGGGTCAGCTGTAAGTTCATTCTGCTCTATTAAAAATGTAACATCAGAAAAAAAAACAAAACTAAACACCTTAGACAGGGAGGGAATCTGAGTTCTAGACCCATCCCTGCTAGCGATTTCCTGTGTGACTTTGTGTCAATAACTGGACCTGTCTGTGCACCCATTTCTAAAGTTGTTGTGGGATAATGATTCCTGTGCTGCCAGTAATACTCGGTAAGGGAATCAAATGGATACCTTTAAATACTTACATGATCCAAGTGTCTGTAGAGTGCCTGTCTTGTGGGGTGCAGCATTCAGCATGTGACAAGATGGATCTGAGACCTGCTTTCTTGATGCTAACCATCTGGGGGGCTGTAAATCCACAAGGAACCAGAGCCATGGTCAAAATGCAGGCTGACACCATAAACAGACCTTATTTCCCCAGTTGCTGCTGCCTGTTTACTCATCTGACTCACGGTGGAGAAAGCAGAAATGTCACGTTTCAGGCAGAGGCAGTCACAAGCGCAGGCCAAGGTGGGAAGGTTCTCTGATGACAGGTTCTGTCTCCGTGCACCACAGCAGGTGCAGAGACGGTGTCACTGCAGTGAGGAAGCTACCAATGCAACCAGAATGGTGCATGACAACTACGATCAGGTAAAGTCTGAGAAGAGCACGAGGAAGAGGGGAAAGGAGAGGGACAAGTCTGCAGAGAGTGCCAGTGTCCCAGCCTCCTCTCCCCTCGCAGCCATTCTCTGCTTTGGCAAGTGTTTGTTGCAGGCCTGCCCATGTCCGTGTGTATGAAGTGTGTGGGTTGTGCTTGGCTACTCTCTTGTCCCCTCCTCCATCATCCCTCTACTGCTTTCCTGTACCGGCACATATCAGGACTGACCTGTGTTTACTTTGGGGAAAGCACCTACTATCAAAGATAGGGGTGATACAGAGAAAGCAAGACCTGTAGTGAGTCTCAGGCTGCTATGCACAAACATGTTACGTGTGAGGTGTCCTTGTGGCCAGTACCTGCCCCCAGGATTCTGCATGTTAATGAGGACATCACATAGGTGTTCGAATGTAGGTGTTGATGTAGAAGCGGTCCCTCTTGTGTGTGTCATTGAAAGATCGTATTCAGGTGCATATTCTGTTGTGGCAGCTCTGTGGGGAGCCCCGAACCGTTAGCCACCTCATTAGCCACACTTCTAATGATGCCAATGCATTGAAGAACAAAGAGGCCGGGGTCTGTTCAGAGCTCTCCTCTTTGTACAGAGGCCCTTTGGAGAAAGTTATAGAAAAAACTAAGAGTCCAGTAATTCTTATTATGAGCAAGGAATTGTTCCAATCTCACTACAGACAGGAACACACCAGTCCTTCACAATAATGCTATAAGTATTATCTACACTGGCTAAGTTAGAAAACTGAACGGCAAGCAGGTTAACTGACTCGAGTTCATGCTGCAGCTGAGGATCCTGTCCTACACTGGCTGGATGGCTGCAGTGCACATGCCATAACTCCGACCACCTCCTTCTGGTCTGCAAGGAGGCAGGATAAGTCAGGCATCGTGCTCTGGTTCTGGCTCTTTCATTAACTGACTGTGTGATGTTGGGTAGGACACCTAGGGCCTACAGTGCTTCTCCATGCCACATGGGGACAGCAGGCTGTCCCTACCCACTGAGGCGACTAAGACTTTCTGGGAGAACAGACGCACTCAAGCTGGCTGATGTGAAAAAAAAATAAGTAAAAACGGGCCAATAAGGCAAATAATTCCTGTGGAAAAAAGAGGGAGAAAGTGAAGAATTTTTTATTTTGTTTATAAGGAGCTGACATGATTTAATTGATCGTATCTGGAAAAAATTGTTTTGGTTGCCTATTAGGAAAATATTTTTGAAAACTGTATGCTATGTAAATATATTTGAGGTATAAAAAGAAAATCCTTTTGGGATGGTGACCTGCAAAGTGGCCCGGTCTGTGCAAATGCTGATTGCTTGTGCTGATCTCATTGGTTTCAGCTGGAAGTTCCTTCTGCTGCCACTAAATCTCTGGGAGAACTCGATGTCTTTCTAGCTTGGATTGAGAAGAATCATCAGGAAACTTCACCTGCCTGACACCAGGAGCTGATCCAAGGGTGAACACTTCGTGTTTCCTGAGGAGACAGCTGACTTTGAAGGCAAGAGAGATGGAGAGGTCACTCCATGTTCACTGAAGTGGAGGTCTTTTCAAAGAAACTGACTTCTCTCCTCCGGAACTGGGGCATTGTAGGGAAAAACCTGAGCCTGAGCAGATCTCACCCTGCAGCCCAAGTCTCCCAGGCAGGTTTCTGGCTGTCTGATCCCACTTGAAAATAGCCAGATTGTCTACGGTGATATTTATGATGAAACAGGTCATTTGAAAGCCCTCAGAGCCATCCTGGAAGGAGAGGGTTGTTTCCCCATTAACTTATTGCAAAGTTGCCTCTCCCACGGCGGTGTTGTGAGCTATGTAGTCTCCTGTAGTACATATTGTACTGCCTGACACTTCTGAATAAACTCTGCTGTACTTATGAGTGGAAATGTCCTCTGCTGCAGAAAAAGTCAGACAAGGAATTGTAAGTGGACACTCTAGGAAATAAAAGGGTCTTGAAGAACATGAATAGATGGGGAAGCTGAGGTCTAGGAGGGAAGAAGGATATACTCAGGGCTCAAAACAATCTAGCACAGAAAAAGTTTCCAAATGACGTATTACTCCATTCTTCCTGTTGTAACCCAGTACCAGAAGCTGGTTAACTTTATAAAGTGGAGAGGTTTATTTAGCTCAGAGTGTGGAGGCTCAAGGGCTCAGGAGCAGCACTGGTTCGGCCCCTGGAGGATCACATGGGCTTATAGGCACACCAACCCTTGGCGGACACATTCAAGCCGTACCTCAACTACGGCATCCAGTATCTCATTCTCCACTCAGCACACATCCCTCCCCAGAACATCAGGGAAAGGGGACACGGGGCCCCTGACCACAGACTTCTGCTGCTCCTTTCTTTCCAGCATCTCTTTCTCTGTGCCTCTGTCTTTGCTCCCTGTCTCTGCTCCTCTCTGCTATTTGTCTGTCTGCTATTTCTTTCTTCCTATTCCTAACCTTTCTTGGCCCCTGTTCTCCAATGGTGTATGTGCTGGACTGAAGAGAACACATTTTCTGATGAGGGATGGTTGCCATGGTGACAAACCTAAGCAAATAAGCCCACCCTAGGCAGAGGAGATGGGACCTAGGTTACAGTAAGAGGTCACACTGGGTACCAACCTCTAGATGGACATTCCACAGGTGATTCAGAGCACAGACACCTGTCCTCAACAGCTGACATCTTCTGGGCATCTGCCATGGCCAGATGCAGAGATTCATACTTTATAGGTATTGTCCTGGGCCACTGGCTGTACTATAGCTGGCTAGCTCAAACATCCTTTATTCCTGCCTACGAGAGATTTCACAGCACATGCATTAGTGGAGAGAACAAGAGCTCCGAAGTCAGGCAGACCTGGTTCCAGTTCTATGTGACTCTGAACAAAGTACTTAATGTCTCTATATCTCAGAGTCCTTTTCCTGGCACACTAGCACTGGGCAAAAATGTCACTGTGAACATCAAGTGAGGTGGGTGGGAGGAGTGTGGCTGCGTGGAAAGGTGGCCAGCTCAGGAGCCAGATTCTGGTGTGAAGTCTGCTCTTGCCCCAGCGCAAGGCACTAAGTTTCTTTGGTCCTTAGTTGTCCGCAGTGTGGATACTGACCCCATGTACTACTACCCCATATGACAAGTAAAGAGCCAGCATCATTACAATGGCCTAGAAACCCCTAGCAACTGTACACCACACCTTCCCCAACCTGGTGTGGTGTCTGCTACAGCTCTGACCCAGTTGTCCCAGACTCCTTGGTGTCCCTCAAGCACACTGGGCAGGCCTGTGGTCAACTTGGAACCCCAGTGCTCTGCACACACACAACCGCAAACTGAGGTAGGGTTTAGAAAACACTCACAAGTTATGTTTTCAGGTGACTGACAGGCTGTCAAGAGGGAGGAATCATTCCGAGGTGACCTTAGCTGGATGTTCACGCTGAGCGGCTGGACCATGGCAGTTAGAGCATCTCTGATATTTTGAGACTGCCCTGAGCCAGGCTTCCATCAGACATCTGTGTGGCAGGCACTCCCTGGCCCTACAGGTCTTTACTCCGAAGGGATCTACTCTCACCAGCAGCACACTGCATCCCTTTCTTGTTTTATTTATATCTGTTTCTCTCCTTGAGTGTAAGCCCTCTGAGTGGGAATAGTTTGGTTTTTTCACTGCTTGGCATTTAGTAGATGTTAAATTCAACTTGCTTCAGTAAATGATCTGGATGAATTAAAACAACAACAAGAGCAAACATTTATACACAGTGCTTTGTATATGCCAGGGAATAGTCTAAGTAACATATGTACTATGTTATAATGTGAATAGATATTTTATTTAATTCTCACAACAACCCTATACAGGTTCTGAGCATGAAATAAAATGAAAAAGGTCACTGCATTGAATAGTGGTAGTATAGATAATTAAACCCTAAGGAGGAAACTGGACACAGAGATCTTAAGTAACTTTTCCAAGGCCACATAGCTCAAAAGTAGCAAAGCCAGCCGTCCAGTCCAGGAATGCGGTTCCAGAATGAACTATAATGCCAAACACAAAGTGTACTTGTTAAAACACTCATGAGCCAGGCCCTGAGGCAAGAATTTATGTTTTCTCCTTAATGCCTCAGGATTATCCTAGAAGGTAAAGATTATGAACAAGCCTGGTTATGCAGACAAAGAGATCTGAAGCTTAGAGAGATGCAAGGATACACCTCTGGCCAGGCCGCAGGCTGGGAGACTTGAATTCAAGTGCAAGGTGTCCTGCTCGAAGCCTGGGTCCTTAGTTGCAGTAAGTCACGGCCAGCACATCTTGCTTTCGTGATGGGAGCCCGAGGGAGCAGGAGATGCCCTGACGGATGATCCGCTCCTGTAAGAGAGGAACATGGCTGAGAGCTGCCGGTGAAAAGGAGGAGAGAGAGAAGGAGGAGGAGGAAGAGGAGGAGGAAGGGGAGGAAGGGGAGAAAAAGGAAGGGACGGATCCCCTAGGGAGAAGCACCTTCCTCTCTGCTCTCATCACACTCCTGACCTTGCTCTGTCTCTTGCCAGCTTACCTCGCTTGTCCACCTGTCCTTTCCTACCTTCAGGCTTGAAGACCATGCCCTCTCTTTTGGGTCTGCGGCAGGCCTGGTATAGATGTGGCTTTTTCCTTCCCAGAGCTGATGCCTAAGAAATACCTGCTAAGGAACCACGCATAACATTAGCTTCCAACACTTACTCTCTGCACCCCCCATCAGCCCTTGAGAATTGCCTTGGGAAATCTGGGCTCACCTTCAACCACTAAGGGGCGAGGGAGGGAGCCCACATGGTGTGCCACGCACAGGCCCGGCACTTTTTGGGCAAGATCTCATTCAAACCTTTGAGCAGACCCAAGAGGTTGGAGTTTTTATCCCCATGTGGTCGGTGGAGTGGTTTGGGGCTCAGGGGGGTGGGGGAACTTGCCTAAGACCCCAGGACAAAGGAGCGGCCGAGCTGGAAGGTGAACCCTGGCCCTGTCTTCCTGGATCCATCCTCCTTCCTCCTGCTGGTGTGGGAGTTCAGCTGGCTTTGGCCATGGTTATATACCCTGGGGCCCAGTTCTGTACACTGAATGTCAGCAATGTGGATGATTAAGTCGCGATGTAGCAAAAGGGCCCTGGACTTCCTAGAAACAAATCTCTGAAGTTGCACACAACTGAACTGGGGTGGATTAACTAATGATCAACTTGGAACACCCAGCTGAAGTGAGTCAGTGCAGTGCTGGGTGTGGAAGGCCCACCTGAGGATTGTTGCCAGCAGCATAAAAGCAGAACTGGAGGGGAAGATGGTGCACTGTTAGTTCTCCTGGAGGAGCTCGTGTCTTAGTTACTTTTCTCTTATTGCTGAGACAAAATACCCGACACCCAAGGTTAAAGAAGAAAAGGTTTATTTAGCTCACAGTTTGTGGAAGTTTCCGTCCATAACCAGCTGGCTCCAAGGCAGGTAGCACCTAGCAACAAGAGCAAAAATGGGCAGAAAGAAGAGCAAGCCTCTTTCCCTCCCTTACACTGTATGCAGGCTGCCCGCCCCAGGGCAGGTGTAGCACTGACACCATAAGCCCAGCATTGGACCAGGAATCAATCACAAACTCTAGACGCCGCCCCCATGACTGCATGAGGTTTTGGAGGGACAACTAGACACAAATCATAACATCTTGGGTCCTCACTGTTGCTGAGACTGGCTGCGGTTCTCTTCAGGGAAGCTCTGGTCCTTACTTTGAGTGTTGCTTCCTGGTTCCAGGAAGTGCAGATCCCTCAGCCTGCTGGCACAGATCCTTCATCCTGCTAGTGCAGTCTTTCTAGCTTCTACCACTGACCTTGGGCCTCACCAGCGCAGATCCTCAGTACAGACTTGCATGAGACATTGTCGTGGGCTCTAGGCCTCCAGCTGGACTCATGGAGGACAATGCCATGGGCTCCAGGACTTCAGCTGGACTCATACATGACATTGCCATGAGATCCAGGCCCTCAGCTGGATTCCTTGGGTCTGTTGTGTGTGGACAGGTTTCCCACACTCTTTTGCATTTGACTCTTTGGGTGAATATTATAAAATAATCTATGAATTATATGTTCTATATTACATTGTTCTCCTTGCAAACTCTGACTACAACGTGGACCAGCACAGAGCAGAGCAGCAGAAGCTGCCTTGTGAATGTGTCACACAATCTTCTTGGCCCAGCCCGGCCCTGGGCTCCTCCTGGGGGATATGTTCTCCTTTTTCCCAGCCCATCATCATGCTTAGCCCAAGCCATGGGACAGCCCATGTGCTTACGAAGCAGTGATGGTCTGGAACAAACCGCTGGCAATCACACACGCTCAGGGCAACTGACTTTTAGAATCACAGGCTTGCCTAGGAGCTTGGCCCAATAGCCAAGGAATATGCTTTGGTGTGAAATCTTGGCCTGGCCACTTTCTGTGTGACTTTGAATGATTTACTAAACCTGAGCCTCAGTTTCCTCATCCGTAGAGTGAAGGAGATATCTATCCCACAGAATGTTATAAGGATTCTAGATCTTATTTACATATTGCCAGGTATGTATTAAGTGCTCATTAAAAATGATAGTTGTGACTATTTCCTGATTCTCTGCCATTTCATAAAATCTTGTTTGATTTTTGTCTTCATTGTTATTTTGTTAGTTTTTTAATTTTTAAAATAAAAAACATTTTAAAAAAATCTTATTTGCCATAAAACTGAGTTGTTTGGGGACAGCCTTCCTCTTGCATGTTGTTTTTAAACTGGCAAGTGAGAAAAGGCAATGGATGCTGGCCGAGGTCTGCATATCCCGGCCAGATGCAGAGCCCTGTGGTTCTCTGCTGAGTCCCTGTGCAGGGGCTTGCAGTATCTGTACAGCCAGCCAGGGCCTGGCCGCCTTCCTGGCTTATCTGCTGCTTGGACACCCTCCTGCAGGCTGGCCCA